TCATAATCAAATTAATAATAATAAGCATAATAATAATATTTTTACAATAATTAATAATATTATTTTTTATTATAAATATATTATTATTATTAATATTTATAAAATTATTATTATCACTATATTAATTATTCATAGAATATTGCTGTTAGTAATTATTATTATTAATATGTTAAAAACAAAATATACAATAAAAAAAAAGGAGTTTTCTTACTTGACGTTTAATAGATCAATAAAAGATAGATAAATTTTAATAAATTATTAATATATTTTTATTTATTTCTCATCGTTTTATCCCTGACTTTGGGCCATTCATACCATAATCAATCCTACAAGTGACTTATTTTTGACAATCAAACTAGTGATGTAATTTTACCCATTCTCCAATCTTTATCTGATTTCCTTCTTAATCATATGATCCACCACCGCTAAAAATTTAAATAATCTTTAATAATATTTACATCTTCTAATATTTCTTCTCTTTATATTTACAATACATAATATCCCATCTACCTATCTTCATACCATGTATATTATATTCTCCACTATTTATGATCTAATTATGGTGATTAAATTTTTTATCTAATTCTATCCACTTTCCAATCTTTATCTGATTTCCTTCTTAATCATATAATCCACCACCGCTAAAAATTTAAATATTCTTTAATAATATTTACATCTTATAATATTCCTTCTCATTAAATTAACAATACATAATATCCCATATACCAACTTTAAGACCATTCAAATTATATTCTCCACTATATATGATCTAATTATGGTGATTAAATTTTTTATCTAATTCTATCCACTTTCCAATCTTTATCTGATTTCCTTCTTAATCATATAATCCACCACCACTAAATAATAAAATGTTCTAATTATTATTTACATCTATTTTAATTCCTTCTCATTATATTTCCAATACATAGTATACCATCTACCTACCTTCATACCATTTAGATTGTATTCACCATTATAGGTGATTTATTCTTAACCATTAGTCTTTTCATCTAATTCAACCCATTTTCCAATCTTTATCTGATTTCCTTCTTAATCATATAATCCACCACCACTAAATATTAAAATATTCTTATTAATAATATTTACATCTATTTTAATTCCTTTTCATTCTCTTTACAATACATAGTATCCCATCTACCTACCTTCATACAATTTATATTATATTCTCCACTATATATGATCTAATTATAGTGATTAAATTTTTTATCTAATTCTATCCACTTTCCAATCTTTATCTGATTTCCATCTTAATCATAAAATCCACCACCACTAATTATTAAAATATACTTATTAATATTTACATCTATTTTAATTCCTTTTCATTATATTTACAATACATAGTATCCCATCTACCTACCTTTCTACCATTCACATTATATTCTCCATTGTAGGTGAATTATTTTTAATCATAATTCTTATCCAATTCAACCCACTTTCCAATCTTTTTCTCGTTTCCTTCTTCATCATAAAATCCACCACCACTAATTATTAAAATATTCTTATTAATAATATTTACATCTATTTTAATTCCTTTTCATTATATTTACAATACATAGTATCCCATCTACCTACCTTTCTACCATTCACATTATATTCACCATTGTAGGTGAATTATTTTTAATCATAATTCTTATCATCCAATTCAACCCACTTTCCAATCTTTTTCTCATTTCCTTCTTCATCATAAAATCCACCACCACTAATTATTAAAATATTCTTATTAATATTTACATCTATTTTAATTCCTTCTCATTATATTTACAATACATAGTATCCCATCTACCTACCTTTCTACCATTCACACTATATTCTCCATTGTAGGTGAATTATTTTTAATCATAATTCTTATCATCCAATTCAACCCATTTTCCAATCTTTTTCTCATTTCCTTCTTCATCATAAAATCCACCACCACTAATTATTAAAATATTCTTATTAATATTTACATCAATTTTAATTCCTTCTCATTATATTTACAATACATAATATCCCATCTACCTACTTTCTTACAGTTTAAGAATTATCCAAAAAAAATTATTTTTTTGCTTTGTATAAAAATATAAAATACTTTTCACTCCTATAAATTTCATTTCCATTTTCATCGAAATTTATACATCCACTCTAACATTATGTACAATAATTAATCACATCCCATCTTCCTACCTTCATGCCATTCATATTATATTCACCATTATAGGTAAATAATTTTTCATCATATTTCCTTTCCTCTAATTAAAATTCAATCCACTTTCCAATCTTTTACTCATTTCCTTCTTTATCATAAAATCCCCCACCACTAAATATTTAAATATTCTTTACATCTTTTTATATATCTTCTCATCGTAGTTACAATACAAAATGACCCATCTTCCTACCTTCATGCCATTCATATTATATTCACCATTATAGCTGAATTATTTTTGATCATAATTCTTTTCATCTAATTCAGCCCACTTTCCTATTTTTTTCTCGTTTCCTTTTTAATCATAAATTCCACCACCACTAATTTAAATATTTTAATAATATTTACATCTTTTTATATTTCTTCTCATTCTTTTACCAATACATAATATCCCATCTACCTACTTTCTTACAGTTTAAGAATTATCCAACAAAAATTATTTTTTTGCTTTGTATAAAAATATAAAATACTTTTCACTCCTATAAATTTCATTTCCATTTTCATCGAAATTTATGCATCCACTCTAACATTATGTACAATAATTAACCACATCCCATCTACCTACCTTAATACCATTCTTATTATATTCACCATTATAAGTGACTTTTGTATCATAATCAAACTTTTCACTCACTTCAACCCATATTCCAACCTTATTTTAATTTCCTTCTTAATCATAAGATCCACCACCTCTAGAATATTTTGTTATAAATTCATAATATTTACATTAATTTATATTCTCCAGCTTCATTATACATCAAATCCCATCTATCTACTTTTTTATTGTTTGTTTTATATCCAATCCAAACCATATTCTTCGTATATGAGGAATATTCAAATTCTTTATTAACTTAAAATATCTCATTGCCATTATCATCAAAAATTTTATAACCACTTAAATATTAATTTTAATTGTTACCTTATTATGTTTTAATATCTTAAATCTATTTTGTCCCATCTACCCAACTTTATGCCATTTACGTTATATTCACCTTAATAAGTAGCTTAATTAGTTTTCAAAAACCCTTCAAACAATTCTACCCACTTCCCAATTTTTTTCTAATTTCCTTATTAATCATATGATCCACCACCACTATTTATTATTCCCCCCTTTGTAACTGATTTAATAATTACATTTAACTGAATACTTTCTTATTCCAATGTAAATACAAAATATCCCATCTACCCACCTTCATACCATTAATATTATATTCACCTCTATGAGTAACTGATTGATTTGAAGAAAACCCTTCATCCAATTCCATACACATTCCAATCTATTTCTAATTTCCTTCTTAATCATAAGATACACGACCACTATTAAAATGTGCTTATAAATATTATAATTTACAATTTTTATCCACCAACCCCACAAATTTTCCATCTATCAACCTTCATACCATTTATATTATATTTTCCACTATAAGTGACTTCTTTTTTTGAAGAAAACCCTTCATCCAATTCTACCCACTTTCCAATCTTCCACTAATTTCCTACTTCATCATAAGATCCCCCACCACTATTTATTTTTTTCCCCTTTATAACTTATTTAATATTTACATTTATCTATATCCTTACCAATTAAAATACATAATATCCCATCTACCAACCTTCATACCATTTATATTATATTTTCCATTATAAGTGACTTCTTTTTTTGAAGAAAACCCTTCATCCAATTCTACCCACTTTCCAATCTTTTTCTAATTTCCTTCTTCATCATACAATCCACCACCACTAATGAAAATATTCTTATTTATATTTACATTTATTTTTATTCTTTCTTATCATATTTACAATACATAGTATTCCATCTACCTACCTTCATACCATTGATATTATATTCACCATAATAAGTGATCTATTTCCAATAATCAAACTCTTAAATCAATTCTACCCACTATCCTATCTTTTTCTAATTTCCTTTTTAATCATATGAGCCGCCACCACTATAAATTTTTACATCACCCGCTTGTTACTTAAAAACTATTTACATTTAACTGTATTTCATTTAATCTAATCCACAATACATAATATCCCATTTCCCTGTTTTTCTTCCGTAAATATCATATTAACCATAATAAGTGATTTAAGAAGAATAAGAAAACTTTTCATCCAATTCTACCCACTTTCCATTCTTTATCTAATTTCCTTCTTAGTCATATGATCCACCACCACAATATATTTACTTGTACTTCCCTTTATAATTTTTTAAAATGTGCTTATATGATACTTTCTCAATTCTTTAACTGTACATAATATCCCATATACCTACCTTTTTGCCATTCTTATTATACTCTCCACAATAAGTGATTTTTTTGTCATCATAAAATCCTTCATCTAGCTCAATCCATTTGCCTTACTTTTCACCATTATCATTGTATAAACCACCACCAACAAACAATTTTATAATTAAATCTATCTAACAATAATAAATATAATTCCATTTTCCAATTCTAAGACCATTATAATATTCTCCAGTTTCAAAAATCTATACCTAACTTCATAAATTTCAATTTTCAATAAAATACTTCATATAATTTAGAAAGAGATCATTCCATAATCCTTATTTTTACCCTTCTTTATAGTATCCGCCAACATTATTTAGAAGTTTTTTATTCCAAAAGGCTATCCATATACCTTCCTTCTTTTTGTTTTTACCATACTAACCTTACCAATAAAGATTGCCGATTTAATCCATATTATTAAACAACTCTGGTTTCTCATGAACATCTTTGCATTCTACTCTATAATTAAGCTATAAATAAAATGTACTGCCTCAAGATCTCTCCATTTTATTAATAGATGATTTTTTAATCTGATGTGAACTTGATTTGAATTTTTATTTTTTCAATCCTGACTCTCTCTCTGTCAAAGCTATCAATTTCTTTTACAATAGTGTGTTCCTCCCTATTAGTTGATTAAGAGGAGCTTATTTCGGTGTTAATAGAAAAATTCATTTTTATTTTTAATTGTATTTCTATTACTTTAAAAATTTAAAAACTTAATTAGTGTAATAGATATATGATTATAAAAGCTAATTACAATATATCTATTAAAGTATGGGTTTACTAATTATGGGTTTGGGTTTGCCCACTAATAGGTTTAATTCAGCAGTCACATTATGTTGAATTCAGTAAAAAGGGTTTGGGTTTGGGTTTGGGTTTGGGTTTGG